AGCCTCTGTAGTTTGCAGGATGATTTTGAGAGAAACGGACGTACTTTCTAGACGATCCCTTCCGTATAGCCCGAGGAAAAAGATATTTTGACAGAGGTTCGAAGCACGAAATTCGCGGCACTACTTAGTGCCCCACTGAACGCGCGCGGGTACGGCGTCACGGCGAAGGCTGTCTGCCGAGTCCTTAGACACATTGATTTTGAAAACGAAACAAGCGAGGAATAGGGGCGATCTGCCCCACCCCTACTCGGGAATCGAGCCCCGCAACTCCGCGTGTTCCAACTCTACTTGAACTACAGGTCGGTGAGCTGGGAAGCAGCCAATGCCGCAGTATAAAAGGCACATATGAACGGGGGGAGCAGACCGCCACACACCGCAAGAGTAAAACTGGTGGAGGAGAGGCAACTATCAGGTCGCCCCGCCCAACCGTGAGAAACAAGGGTTCCCAATAGACTGTTCCCGCTTTGCCCATTTCATGAAGGATTACGGAAATGGTATTCGGAAACACATCTGAAATTACGGTAAAAACTAGTGCAAATGAACCTTCATGGTTACATGGACTTCCTCGAGGTCATCTAAGTGAAAAGGCCGAGGGCCGAGTTGTGGATGAGATCGTCTGGAAGGTAGGCGGGCCCGCCAAACATACTCACCGTGCGCCCCCGACTTGTTTGTAACCTGTGGGTACCCCTGGGACGAGTTGTGGCTGAGGGACCAGTTGTGGATGAGGGCGCCTGGTAGGTAGGCGGGCCCGCCATACATACTCGCCGTGCGCCCCCGACTTGTTTGTAACCTGTGGGTACCCCTGGGATGAGTTGTGGCTGGGGTCCAGTTGTGGATGAGAGCGCCTGGTAGGTCGGCGGGTCCGCCATACATACTCACCGTGCGCCCCCGACTTGTTTGTAACCTGAAGGTACCCCTGGGACGAGTTGTGACTGAGGGCCAAGTTGTGGATGAGAGCGCCTGGAGGGTAGGCAATTCTTTCAAAGGCTGTTTGGGGCCCCCTGGGCCCCATTGCGTTGGTTTTTACGCATCCGGGGCCTTTCGGCTCGTCACGGACTATGTGCAGAGCACGTCCCTACCTTCTGGTTACTTCCTGAAGGCTTTGGATTTCATATTACCCGAAAAAGGGTGTTCTATAGTCGGGTCGGATTAAGCTGACTCTGGCCGCCGGGTTTGTGGCCACAATTTTGTGGCCACAAGTAGGGACGTAAAAATATGTAAATCGCCATTATCTCGGAAAGTATTTGAGCTACAGCGTCCCGACTTAGCCTGTATATTCTTCGAGTAAAACTGAACAGATCCTGAAGTGGGCGATCACCTAACGCACCGGGAAACCAGTTTTATATCGTTTCAAAGTCGGGTCGTAGTTCGAAATTTTTACAACTTTGATTTCTCGAAAACTATTCATCCCACAGCGTCCTGGATTTGCGGGGCAGTTTATATTCATAGGGCGAACATTCCCCGATAGTTTCCATCCCCTGAGGGAAAAATTTTTAAAAAAATAAAAAATAGCCCCAAAAGTGAAGAGTCGAACCCACGACACGAACAGCCGATACGAGCAGCGATCCAGCACGGAACTTGCTGAGCCACCAGACCACACACCTGGCCCGCCATCACACACCGATATAAGAGGCATGGCGTCAAACGGCGGGGCGCGCGTGCCTCCGGCCCGGAGAGCCAGAAGTGCCCCCATTCGGCAGTTCCGTGACAGAAATTTCAACGGAAATCGGCCCTAGCTCTGGACCTATTGGAGCTACAGCGTCCAGATTTCGGCTGTACATTACTCTAGTAAAACTGAACAGATCCTAAGGTGGGCTATCGCCTAACGCACAAGACAACCATTTTTATATCGATTCAAAGTAGGGTCGTAGTTCGAAATTTTTAGAACTTTGATTTCTCGAAAACTATTCATCCCACAGCGTCCTGGATTTGCGGGGCAGTTTAGATTCATAGGCCGAACATTCCCTATATATATACATATTCTGGACAGATCCTAAAGTGGGCGCTCCCCAGCCAGAAATGGCATGTCGTAACGCCGTCATTTCGACGTCGTTGGTCGTACCAGAGGTCCAAAAATACGTCAAAACGATGAATTTCTCGACAAGTCGATGTCGATTCGACGGAATATCGATACGACGTTTCTGGCTGGGTCATTTTAAGCACAGGGAAACCAATTTTCTGTCGATTGACCTATACTTGAGATAAGCCGTATTTTGAGTGTCTGTCAACCACTGGATTCCTTGGAAATTTTGAGACAAGTGTTTTTACCTTTTGAAAATTTTTCTAAATTACGATTTCACTGCAGTGATTTGCGTTTGCCAAGTTTGTGGGCGAAAAGGTTAAAACTGAAATGCAGAAGAATGGGAACAAGAAAACTTTGGAAGTCACCATGTTTAAGCATAGCGACTTCCGTTTCCTTCTTCCCCGCACTGTTTTGCATTTCAGCTTTACCAGAATTCTTTGACATACCCCGATCGACGTCGAATTCACGCCCTGCTGGTGATGTGCGTTGCCCTATTCTCTTCTCTTACCACTCATTTATAGCCTCCGCCCATCGTTATTCTATGTGTACAAGTAATAGCAATTGCAATATGTTGCTGTTATACGGCGCAAACTTTTCCGAGTCGACACGATTTCTCATATATGGCAAGTAGACGGGGCAAGAAAAAGAAGACTTGGTGGTGTTTGTTGACATTTCGATACGTGCGAAATGTTTTAATTTGGGACTTTATGCTGGTAATCTTGTCTTGTGAATGCATCGAAAGTGATTTGCTGTCGGTCGTTAATCATGGAACATGTAGTGTTGAAATCCGTTGGCAGTGGGAGAGTGGCTTTGACCTTACCTGTATCCAATGTTCAATTTGGTAGTGGTTCAAAGACTTTACAGCAAGTGAAAGAGCTGCCTTCAAACTTTTCCTCTGCCAGAATATTTAAGCTACCGCCTGGCGTTGTTCTCGTGAAGCCAACGATAGGAACAGTTGGAAGTCCTGTGGTATCAAATCAGCCATGTCCTGTCATCCGCTTAGGCTCACCAAAGATTGTTCCAATACAACCGAAACCTCCACCAAGAATTATTCCAAACCCAGCTTATAAACCTGAACCTGTAACATCGAAATGTCAAGCTCAGGTCGTGAATAAGAAACCTCCTGTTGTGCACAATGCAGCAAAATCTCAAGACGAAGACTCTCTGAAAGAAAATAAACAAATATCCTCGATTGTCAACAAGACAGTGAATAGATCTGTAAATGATGGCTCTGTTTCTGTGACATCCTGTGGGAGTTCTGTTGGAAATGATCAGAATTCTAGGCCTAAACCAAAACCCTGGGGTAGAGACCCTCGCCCTTTGTGGAAGAGCAAGGAGCCAATAGTAATGTATAGTGGTTGCTCAAAAGAAGATTTACAAGAGGCTGAGAAGAGGAAAAGGAAAAAGGAATTTCCTCCCGCAAGTCTCCCTTGCCCCAAAATACTCGAGGTAAGTGTTTTATTATGTAAACTGTATGATCTTATCGACAATAAAAAAACTAGTTTTTAATCCATGTTCTCATTAATTTTAGGATATTCTGCCAAAGTCATACAGGTATCACATATTTTCTTTTGAAGGATTGGAAAATCCTGAACATTTTAAAGCTGAAATAAGAACAACTATAACAAAGAAAGATGAGGCTTTGCAATGGTTGAAAGATTTTGAGGCAGCATCCGGAACAAATTTTAGAATTACAAAAACCTTTAAAGAAAACTCTTTCCGTATTGTTTTTAAAGTAAGTTTAGATCTTATTGAACCAAATATTATTTATACATGTCTATTTACCTAACTATCTTTGCTTGTTTATTATATGAATTCTACATTTCTTTATACCATTTCCAGAAATGCTACAAATGCCACAAAAATACATTTAGAAAAGGCCAACAACAGAGCAAAAGACACCTTGGCTGTCAGGCAAGATTATCAATAACTGTGAAGAATACTGGCATGAAATCGTATGTTTTTGTAAAACACATGTAGTTTATAGTAAAATTCCATGATGCTTTTAAAATTTACCATTGCTTATGTTACAGAAGCGCTGATCCATTGCTAAGTGAATTTCCCTGTGTGATTGGCATACACCATAATCACTGCCACTCCTTGACAACTCCTGATGCCCTTCGTCATCGCAGAACCCTGCCGGAAGTTAGGGAGAAGTTTGCTGACATGTTCAGAGCCAAAATAACACCTGCAGCCGCACTCAGAGTCCACAAGGCAGATCTAAAGAGAGAATATGGTGATAAATATGAAGAAGCAATCAATGATGGTGCAAAATGTCCTCCGTTACCTTGGTGCTACAGACTTTATTATGAAATTTGTGGGAAAAAAGTCAAGGATGGTAAGAAGAAATCGACTAGGAGATCATACTCTTCATCAAAAAAGAAAGTTGTTGTTCGTCAGACTATGCAAAACTCATTTCCAAGCCATTCAGCGAACTCTGTTTTGGCTGATTTTAACCCTGAGAATTGTTTGAGTGAACAATATGCCATGGAAAATCTTAAAAGCAAGCCAGATGATGAAATGCAGAGGAGTATCAATAGTTTGTATGGATATGAGTTCATGTCTAAGAGCAATTTAGTTGGAGATGAAGTATTATCCAAGGGTGTTTCATCAAATAGAACTGATATGTTAGTAGGTAATTCTGAATTGGTAGAGACATCAGGAAACACAGAAATATTAAACTCTCATGAAGTACTGTATCGTAATGACTCTGGAGGAAATTATGAGGAACCCAGTACAATTTTAGATGATGATGATCAGGATCATGATAATGTTGGTTTTGAAGAGACTTGTGATATTTTAGACCAAGATACTCAAAGCAATGAAGAGAATAGAACTGTAGAGAGTACCAAGGGTAACATGTCTGAATGTTCCATCAGTGAACTCAAACAGGGTTTACATGATTTCTATAATCATCTATTAAATAAGATGAGAAACAACCCAGAATTATTTATTCCAGCTGTAGAAACTTTTATTTCTACTGCTAATAGTGTTTCTAAGACCGGTTCTGACTTTGAACTTGCTGAAAAATTGTATAATTTTTCAAAAACTATGTCTGAATCAGCTAACCAGGTTACTCCAGAATTAACTCATGCTGTAGCCCCTCCTAGTTCAAATATTAGTAAGGCTCAGAAGCATAAACTCTTAGAATCCCATTCAGAAGTGTCTACACTTGTAGAGGGCCTCTTAGAACAAAGCCAAAGCTCATCTATTATTGGTGGGACACCAGAAACATCTGGTAGCCCTCCCAAAAGGAAAGTGCTTGTGCTTCGCATGAAACCAAATAAATTCCATCAGATTCTTGGAAAAGTGGAAGAAAACAGATTAAAAAAGGGGTCATAAACATGTAGTTACTTTCCGTGAGTTATAAGTTCTTTGTGTCGTGTCCTTGTTTTTAACACTTACTGAATTCTTGTCCTCTGTTTTTTTTTTGTTTTTTTTTTTCTTGTTGTCTCTCTCTCTATTTTTTAATCTGTCTGGCATGCACTTACTAATCTTTTCATTGTGTCATGTGTACAAGTTTTCTGTTTTGAGTTACGGATTTTGAAAATGTTTCTGCTACTTTACAAGACGTTTTGTAAGGCTGAAACTTCCTCAGTATTCTGAATATTTTTCTCCTTCTAAAGTCGTATTTTATGTATGGTAGGCATATATAAACTAGTGTTTATTAATATACCCCATGTTATTGCTAAACTTAAGTTTTATTTTTATATCAAATAAATTTATTTACAATTCATATGTACATTAACTCAGTATTACCCTTTACAGACCACAATAACTATTTACACTTGATCCATGAGGTTCAGAACCATGGGCAGGTTTTTTGGACCATTACCTAAAGAACAGGCATTCGAGGACCATGCCTTTGCTTCTTTCATTAGAATGAGGACTAGGCAAAAAATCAGTTGATCAGGTAACTCTTTGGTGGGCAGCATGTGCTTGGCACAAAGAAATGATTGCACTGTGAAATTTCATGGCAAGTTCGCTTAAGACCTACTTAGCTAACAATTGTAAGCCTAAAAATTCATATCATTTTGCCATCAAATTTCAAGCGTCTATCATTGCCTCATGACAGGGGTGTTCTTGGCTCCAGCCTGACTTTGATACCTGATTCTGGTCTTAGAATAAGGTCAATCATGAGGGTGAGGTCTTCCATTGTCTCTACTGCTTGGATTTTGTAGTATCGCAAGATGTAGGATAAAACAGTCTTCTCCTCCATCAAAGCAAACTTTTGGCCTGTAACCCAAATGTAGAAACATGTATTACAAAGATTGTATAATAAGCATACTTCAATAAAACAAACACTTCTAAAATGACTGAAAACTATGCGCAAATATCCAAGGGTAACTTATAGGCCACACCACTTACCAATGCAATTTCTTGGTCCAGCACTAAACGGAACGTAGGAGTAAGGATGTCTCTCAGCCACTCTGTTCGGCAGGAAGTTGTCTGGATCAAATGCATGAGGAGAGGGCCATTGCTTGGGGTTGCGATGAATGTGGTAGATTGGAATGTTGATCATGCAACCAGCAGGGACCTTGTATCCACCTGAAAATAACAGGCCGTTAGATATGCTGGTATTCTAGCCAGTTTCAATGTGGGGATGAGCTTAAAAATAAGATGATAGATTGACTTCCTACCAAAGTCGACATCCTGGAACAGTTTGCGTCCGATGAAAGGAACTGATGGAAAGAGCCGGAGTGTTTCCTTGATGACGCGCTCTAGGTACTTCATTTCCTGCAGGTCACGCACAGTAGGCGCCCGATCTGAACCTTGGAAAATGTGCTCCAGCTCTTCTGCGGCAGTGTCCTAGATGGCATATAGATAAAAAAAGAAATTTACTCCTTTATTTCTTTAAAAATTTACAAGAAGTGTAATACAAACCTGTAAAATAAGATATTTTTTTAAAAAAAGAATGTGGACAAAGTGTTATGCTTTACCTGAATGTGTGGGTGAGACCCTAAGAGGAACACTGCCCAACATAGTCCGGCGGTTGTAGTGTCGTGACCCTACATGATAATAGAACATGTTTAAAAATTGACGCCCGGAAGTCAGTAATTTTAAAACAATAAAAAACCACATACCTCAAACATAAATGTGTCGACTTCCTCTCGGAGATCCTCGTCGCTGAGCTGGGCTCCGGCCTCCCTCGCATCCAGCAGGAGGTCCAGGAAGGCCGTCCTTTTCTTACGCCCTATCGCAAAAAAAAAAATGCAATTTTTTTAAAAGGAGTGCTCATTTAGTCGATTGGGAAGGGACGTGGTGGCGGAGGACGACGGACGGAGCGCCTGGGAAACGTGGAATAGGCCACCGGGTGCGGAGGGGTGCCGGTCGGGTCTGTGGTCTGTCCGCCTCCCAGGCGCCCGGGGCGCCCGGGCACCGTAGGGTAGGCCACCAGTAACGGAGGGGTGCCGGGCGGGCCAGGCCGCCTCCGGGAGGCGCGCGAGCGCCGCAGGGTAGGCCACCAGGAACGGAGGAGTGCCGGGCGGGCCAGTCCGCCCACGAGGCGCCCGCGCGCCGTAGGGTAGGCCACCAGTAACTGAGGAGTGCCTGGCGGGCCTGTCCGCCTCGGAGGCGCCCTGGCGCCGTAGGGTAAGCCACCAATAACGGAGGGATGCCGCTGCATGAAACAAGGTGTCTGTGGCAAGCTGTAGAGGTGGGGAAGGGGGGGGGGACTCACCGAGATCGTCCTCTTGGGAGTGCTGCTCCTGCTGGCCGCGCTGGCCCTCGCGCACCTCTTTGCGCTCGCGGATCACCTTGTTGGTGAAGCCGTGGAGGATGGAGAGGCAGTGCTTGTAGCGCTTGCCCATGTCGGTGAGGGCCCAAGTGAAGTTAGGGAACAGCCAGGGACGCTGCGCGCGCTTCAGCGTCAGTTCACTCACCCTACGAACGAAAGGCAATGTGATTAAGACCAGAGGCAATACGAGTCTTTTTTAAAAGATCAGCAGTGAGGTGCATGATGCTCTTACTCGTAAATGGCCGATACGTAGTCACTCCTCTTCTCTGTACTATCCTGTGCGTTGATCCTGACACCCATCGCAGTCTCTGAAAGATACGAAGAAATGGCAAGTTGTCGTTAGTGAGGAGGAGAAACCGGGCGTTTAGCAACGGACGCTGGACGAGGTACTCGATCGCTCCCAGTGGGGAATTTCCCGGTAGAGTAGTATCAATTTTTTCAGCGGTAAGAGAATTTTCTCTGATCAACCGACAACTTAGTTATTAGATAGTCGTGAAAGAGGCACCCCGCCTTCAGGCCCCAAAAATGACGTACCACAGATGATGTCGAGGGTGCAGTGCGTGATGAAGGGGTACATGTCGAACTCGGTCTTGCCGTCGGCCACTCGAGCCAGCTTCCGCGCGAGGATCTCGCACTTCTCGACGAACACGTCGTGGAAGGCCTCAAGAATTTTGAAGTGGAATGTTGGGGTGATCATCTTACGGTGCGTGTGCCATTTGTGTCCTGTGGATTGAAATGCAACAGACAATGGTTATGATCCAAATTAAAGATGTAAATCTACCTACATAAAAATGCATATCAATGAGTTGCAGTTGTTAGTGTCCAAATTTGTTGGGACTTTAACACGTTGGGTGTTTTTGCGGTACTTGCCTGTGCTGGTGAGGAGGCCGGTTCCCAACCAGGGCTGCAGAAATCGATAAGCGTTGGACTTGGTGATGTGCTTGGAGCTGCTGAGGATGGCCTGGAAAGTTACATAAAGCGCTTTACTCGTGGCCTTTGATTCCGAGTTTGCACCCACGATGTGACCGCGAATACGACCCTCACCTCGACCTGCTCCGGCTCCTTGAGGTTGATCTCCGCGTAGGGCCCGATCCACGTCCTGAAGAGCGTCGCATTCTTCCTGTGCCGCTCGTCCCAGGCTTCAAACAACTCTGAAAAAACACAAACCCAAATTTATTAATAAGGATTTTAAAAAAATCAAAATTTAAATTCAGATTTATGTTATTGATGAAGCACATTTACCCATCTCTCTACTTACTGTTGGGAGCGACCATGAGGTCGGGTACGTTCCCGAAGACCATGTGTGGCTTGGGCCCCGGCAGGGCGTCCACCACCTTGACGAACCTCCTCCTCCTTGTCACGATGAGCAGGATCTGATACAGCACTAGCATCCCCAGGATGGCGCCCGCCAACAGGCCTACGCCCGACGTCTCCATCTGAATCAGATAATAATAAAAACACTTTTAAAACCATCTGGCTGGAAAAGTTTTTTCCCTCATAAATTTGCTTCCTTGCGTTTAAAGTCAGAGTGCATAAACCATGGTTCCTGTAAAGACCCTAAACCTTTGAAACTATCCCAAAACACAAATCCCTGTAAAGCTTTTCAGGAGGCTGTATAGACTACAAGGCATTTAATTTTGATACTCCAATGATGGAGGCAATAATGCGCTCGGAAGTCCTTCGCAGCTGCTCAGCGCTTGCAAAGCGTGAAGCTGCCGTTACACGAGTGCACTATGAGACTGTCCGAAATTTTCGCCATGTCCTGGAGAACTTGTCAAGCTTTGCACTGCCTCACCTCGTCAGAAAATCAAAATGGCGCGGTTCGAACTGCAGTGCCTCCTCGTCGAGTCTTGTCAGGGGGTGAGCTGAGCTTAGCTGAGCGCTGGCTTGTCCCTCCAGAGATGGAGCGGATGATGCTGGCACGGGCGGCCGGTCCGGGAGCGACTGGCGAATGGACCAGGCGTCCGGGCCTTTATCTGTTCTGCACATCCCTCCGGGCGGGGACGGGGGAGTGGGAGGAGGGGGGGGCACTCAGAGCGGGGGGAAGGGTGGGAACGAAGACCGATCGACCTACCGGACCGACACTTTGACACTTTGCTCTCGTCCACTTGTCGGAGTCTATGTTTGTCGTGTAGGTGAGTTAGAAACTAAACGCGCCAATAAACGCTATGTTTAGAACTCAAGAGCTCGAACCCTTATTGGCGATAAGAGACCCAGCAAGCCCCCAAGGACTACCGCTGTGTTCTGTGCTGGAGGGCGGTAGAGGGCGGGGGAGTCGCACGGCCTGGCCGCGGCACGGCGTCCTCCTCGCCCTCCTCGAGCTGCTCGTCAGCCCGAATAGAAGGGTTGAGGGTCTTGGCCCTTCTTGGAAGGGTGTTCGCAGTGCGCGCCGCCCTCCTGCAGGTCGCAGGTCAAACCACTGTGGTGGGATCAGGACTGGACTCGTCTCCCCCGCGAACACTAGTTTGTATTGGGGGATTTGGGGGGGGGGGCTGTCTGCCGACCAGGCACTCACTACAAAATTCACCCCCCCCCCCCTGGTGAATAAACCCCCAAACCACTCGTATGCATCCTAGGCTGAAGTCTGTCAAGTGAGGAAAAACAGAACCACCCTGTGTCTTAAACCTACCCTCGTCAGCTCCCTAAACGGAAAGAGGGGGGGGGGGAATTAACTGCGATGTCTAAAAGACTTTGCCTTCTGGTAGAGACAGTCTTTAGGGAACTGTCTAAAAGACACAGTAAGTTGACTGGTTAACTTGATTTGTAAACTCGTTCACGGTTGCCCTGCAGTACATGTACTTACTAAGTACGGAGTCCAGGAATTTTTAACATGGAGCCGTATGGGCACTTTATTTACGTACGTGCATCCTGTACCACGGGAATGCTGTACTTTTTCTGTACTTTGGCACAGGATTTTACACAATGTGGCACACGTATGCAAATGCAACATTGGCAGTCAACTCTCAATATAACGAATATTTTTGCGCCGGCACCGATTCTTGGTGGTGGTATTACTCAGATGTGCTTTTCTATATATCGTCCAGTGATAGGTTCAAATAAATGGCCAAGGTTCAAAACCAGAATGGCAAGAATCGAACAACATTTTACTCGACGCCTTGTTAGTTTTTTATTGTTTTCAGTCACTGACCGTATTTCGAAAACAACGCCTTTCGTACTTTAATCGGTTGATTGTGTTGCATTATAGCGGTTCTGTGACGTATGCGTGGGTGGCTGGTCGCGAGTGTATGGGTGCATATATGTCTGTGTGCGTGTGTGTGTATGAGTGTACGTCTGTTTCGTCTCTCGAAAACAGAGATGGGGAGGGCGAGAGTCCAAAGAGAGAAGGGTGAGTGAGAAGAGAGGGGAGCGCCG